CAAGTTGTGTGCCACGGCTTTATGAGAGGTTTGACAATGATTTCCATGAATTTCAACATAAACCATATTGCAGTTGAACTTTATAAGCGACAGACATTTAGTTCATAGCGCTTCTTCAATATTTTAGTATTTTCAAGCGCGTCAGTTCTCAGGTGAGTCCAGCATTGATGCAGCGACTGATGATACCCACTGACAAAGGAAAATAGTGAGCTGAAGTAGATGAAATTAAGTTTTCATTTTACCAGTTATATGTTTGGTGGATTGTTCCATTTTTTGTGAACGCGCAGTATGTTTTTCATGTGCCTCGAAGTGACAAATATAAAAAATTCTAATACTTTATACGAAACAGCGTAGTTCAGATGTTAAATTTATGCAGCTGGCGATATCCACAGAGCGCTGAAGATTGCTCTTCTATCTAACTGCATCCCCCCGTGCAGCGGAAAGTATGGCATATGCAAATATTATTAAGATTTTCGCCGACTCATGGTCGAGGGCACCAAATAACGCGCAGACGTTAACAGCTTATTGGCTTAACTGTTATCATCTCTGTTGCTTGATGCTATCAGCTATTAATCAGCCAAAAATCTACAACTTCAGCAGCAGGTCCAGATTCGGAAATATATTTATGTCAGATTTATATTCCATCTTAATTTGCACATTTAACTCATCACAGCATCTTCGATTACTTCATCCTCTTTATCTTCCATCGTCGCTTCTCCTTTCGGGTCGCCAACGCAGACACGTCAGACAAAGCTTCCAACCTTCCCGATCCTGTGCCAGAGTCTGAGCTTCGGCAAAAGACAAATGGAGTCTGGAACAGACTCCTTCCTTATGTTTGCACCAGGTTAACCTTGGCTGTCCCCTGGGCTTTTTGCCAGTCGGGTTTGCAAAGAGCAGTTGCTTAGCCTTCCTTTCCGGAAGCATTCTCAACACATGCCCAAGCCATCTCAGCTGTAAGTTCTCAGTCTGGAGAAGCAAAGGCTGTATTCAAACGCTCTTCCGGATGTCACTATTCCGGACCGTGTCGAGACGCGTAAGGCCAGCAACTCGTCTAAGATAGCCCATTTCAGCAGCTTGTACCCGGGTTCGAAGTTTTTCAGTGATGGTC